TTAGATGGCTGCTCACAGGCTTTTAAGACCCCAGACGGTACTCACCAAGGTAGAATGTAGAACATTGTCTTTATAAACTGTGTTATGCCAATTGAGCTAGATGTTCCCTAAGACCATGGTTCCCACAGCCCTCTGCCCAGCAATTCAGTCCCTCAGGGAGTTTGGATGTGTCTAGGGAGCTTCCATGACCTTTCTTTGTACAAGCTGTGCTCCATGCTCAAAATATATTCTTTACTGATGTGGTACATGATCAAAAAAAGTTGGAGACCACTTGCTCTATATTAACTCCAAACACATTTGATATTTGAACAAGATCAATCATTATAAATAATTACCTTAATCTTTCCACCCTCTTGCCCAAAACCATCAGGGAATTCCATTCACCCAATGAAAAACATCAAGATTCCTGAATCTGGTATTCAAGATCTACCCTCCAGCCGAATCTTGCTTTCTAGACTCACCTCCTACATTTTCCCAGCCCCCATGCCTTCACCTGCTACTCAATTATGAGGTCTGGGAGAACTGGGAGTATACTTCATTCATCACTTTTTACTTAATACACCCAGCAGACTTTCATTATTTCCCAAGTACATATTATTCACATACTAAATGCTTATGGCAAAAATCACATATCAACTTTTTATAAATATTCTCATATGTGTCTCATCTTTCACATTAGATGAGGACCTCCTTGAAAACACAAATAACTCACTGCAAGACAACAAAGACACTTAATAAATACTATTAAATAAATAAATCAATAATTACAAAGATTCAGCATTTTTAATATACTTACAATAATATCTGAAACATGGAACACTATCTCAGAAAGATAATGGAAAATGGAAAGTAGATTATAAAACTTTTTATCCAAAACAATTAAAGAAACCTGTCTCAGTAAGAATGACACTAAAGAATAAATTGCTTTTTAGAAACCAAAAAGGTTAGAAGCACCAAATACAATGTTTATAAATGCCAACTGGCCCAATGAAAGTTTAATGATAGGTATACAAAAAATAAAAAGCTATATAAGTTAAAACTTACAAAGTCACAGATCTTGTACTACGTAATTCAGAAACATAACAGTTTTCTTTACATAAAGACACTCATCTGGTTTTAATTTTAAATATAGTGTGATGTTACTTATACAATACACAATAAAGATAAAGCAATTGTATGGCTGGGAAATCTGAAAGTATTTTTTTCTTGAGTAGCTTCATACACAGAATCAACAGCATATGAATAACAATTATTTAAGCAGTATATAGAACATTAAACAAATGTGATACAATAAAAAGGCAGAAAAAAGTCTATTGTCTGTTATATCAAAAACATAAGCTTAATATAGAACTATTTCACTTACTGAACTGAAACACACATTAACCAGAACTGAACTAGATTTTCCTCAAAGTGAATTTCTAAAAGTCAACTTATAGACAAAAAGCAAAAATATATCTGAATAATGAAAGATGCAAAATAATTAACCTACAAAAAAAATAATAAAAAATCTAATACTAAGCAAAGTTGAAACAAGATTAGTAGGCTCTCAAGTATGGAAAGGAATTCAAGATCTGAAAAAATAACGTATCTTCTTGCTTAGCAAATTGCCTGAGAATCAAATGGTATCTTCTTACCTTAATCACATTTCCTTTATTTTGTGACATCATATGTGATCGATTACCCAATTTGCCTGCTTGTCCTGATTTCCAGTGACATCTACTTGACCTTCAAGATATATAAACAGAAGGCAAAATGTAATTACTAAATATACTTCTTCTTTTAACGAAAACAAATATATTTTCCCTGTTTCAAGAAACAGAAATTCAGCTGTTAACATGTAACAGAACACCACAAAATGAAAATAAAATATCAGTAATGTCACAATATCGTCACTAATTGTAAAAATATAGCTCTACCAGCATAGTCAGTGTCACTGAACTGTGTACGTAGAAATTTTTGGAACAGTGTATCTTTGGCTATGTTATTTTCACCAAAAAAAAAAAAA